GAGACGGGTGTAAGTTTCTAACCTCTAAACAGAGTTTAATTTTTAGAACCACGCGAAAGAAGTGGTCATAAAACTTATATCTGATGCTGTTCCTCGCAGATCTTAGGTGAAGAAAGTACGACTCCAAAGACATGGACACGCAGATGAAAAAAGAAAATTAGGACTTCCGATTTATGTATTAAATATGGTATCTATCCAAAGTACTTTGTCCGCTGTGTTTGCTAGAAGTCAGTGACGGCAGACACTGGAGACAGCATGTCGAAATATTTCCCAGCTATGGGGCGAGTTAGGGAATCCGATTGAATCCGGAAAATTCAAGTTCATTATCTGATTTTCAAAGGGTGTTGTAACTCGAGAATAATTAAATTAAACTAGTCTTTTACTAACAGGATAACTTTGTCACCTTAAATAAAATGAATCAACGGTTAACAGTGAGAAGCCACGGGTTTAGCATGCCCGCCATTCCATAAATCACTCGTTAATCACTCTAAATTAGTTATGACGGCTTAACCAGCATTCTTTCAAAGCGAACAGTTTCACCACTGTCAAGAAAACCACGTTTTATGCTACATCATTACAGACAGCAACTTCAAAGTATGGGAAAACAAACGAAGCTGAGTTACTAGAATGAAGTTAATTTAATCCAGCACAAAAAATCGAAACATACGTTAACGAAGCTTGATGCATTAGGATATGCCTATGACTGCAATGCGAAAGCTGAGTCAAAGCAACTTTAGACAGGCAACGATACAAGACTTGATACAGAATTACAAACAGAATTTCAAATATTCTACAAAATTTCCCGGCTAGATTACCAGGTAGAGTCCAAAATTTCGTAATACATACTGTATTTGTTAAAGAAACTAAAATAGACAATTGGTATATTAAATTTATTATGGTCGATGGACATAAGTTGGTAACAGCTAATATTTTCTGTTGCAGATAGAGGCAGTTTTATCGCCTTTTTGCAAAATTATGTTCATCCCAAGTGAATAACTGTAAACAGATGAAGTAGGTTACAGGAAGTATCGTCTTTCTGTTCGAAAGGCAGTTCGAAAAGAGAATGAGGCATTGGTTTGAAACGGAAGTCTAATAATTTACCGAAGAAGATGAGTATTTTTTAATGGTTAATTTAAAAAGTATTCGTCTGTTATTTACGATAGTTTAGGATGGAAAGACAATGTGCGGGCACCGCAAACTCTAGAACAAGGTTCGAAATCACCTTGCTCTCACGTGAATTTCACTAGTAAAATAGGTCATGTTTAAGGTAGTTACTATTTTGTTTGATTACGGACGAGCTACAATTGATTTCAGACTTAGTACTTGATTGTTTTATGAATGGAAAGATCTGATCCAGACTGTCCGAGCCAGCATTTGGTCACAGTCGCCGTTTTGATGGGAAGTTTTCTGTAATGATCATGTTTCCTTAAGGTAAGCTTTACTCTCTGAATATAGAGAGGTTCGCTAAGTTTATGGCAGCTACTCCTCATCTCCATCTTCGTTTCTTCTTTCCAGTCGCGGACGCGGACGCGTCAGACAAAGCTTCCAACGTTCCCGATCCTGTGCCACAGTGTGAGCTTCGGCAGAAGACAACTGGAGTCTGAACAGACTCAATCCATATATTTGCACCAGGTTATTCTTGGCCGATCCCTGGGCCTTCTGCCCGTCCGATTGGCAAGCAACAGTTGCACAGCCTTCCTTTCTGGAGGAATTTGCAACATCGCAGCAGTGATTTTTAAATCTGGAGAAGCAATGCCTGTTCGCAACGCTCTTCCGGATGTCAGTTTTCGGGGCCATGCCGAGACGGGTAAGGCCAGCGACTTGTCTAAGGAAGCCCATTTCAGCAGATTGTACCCCGGTTCGAAGTTTTGCAGTGATGATTCACCACTCATGACCGTAGGTAAGCATGGGAATAACGGTCGACTTGAACCAGAGCTTAATTTTCAGACCGAACTCTGCTTTACTCACAACAGATCGAGCTAGTTTACGCAGAACGAAATGGCTACTCCAATACGATGGTCGATCTCTTCCTCCAATTTTCCATCACTAGTAAACGCAATTCCGAGTAACTTGAACTTCTCCACCTGCTAAGCTGACTCTCCGTTGAGTGGACCAACGGACAGAAGAACGAGAAAGCACTAGGCTTTTACTTCTAGATGCATTCACACGCATGCCGATCACGTCGCACTCGGCTGCGAACCTTCCTAGGGAGCACTGAAGATCAGTTTCAGAAGATGCTAATAGAACAAGGTCGTCTGCAAACAGCAACCTTCTCGTCTTCACATCTCCTACACTGATGCACCCATCGCCTTGGCAGCTCCTGATTAACCAATCCGTGTATAACAAAAACAGGATAGCGGACAGAATGCAGCCTTGGCGGACACCACTTGAATGGCTTCGACTTGACCGTTACATAGGATCCAGTCATACGAATTTTTTAGGTCAACAAAACATGTTTACCGGACCGGCGTACCTTCTCGATTTCTCAACAATATGACGCAGGGCAAATATATGGCCAGAGGTGCTTCGACCGGGCCGGAAGCCACACTGCCCTTCTTCCATCTTTAGGTCAGCTATTTCGCGGCACCTCCTTTCCAGCACCTTTGCATAGACTTTATTTGGAAGGCTCAATAATGTAATTCCCCTACAATTGGAGCATTCCTTGCGGTCTCTCTTCTTGGATACGGGTGCAATAACTCTCCTTCTCCAGTTCGCTGGTGTCTTTCCCGCAGTCATTGCAGTTTGACAGACGCGTGTAAGCCAGCACATGCTTTGTTGGTCCAATGCCTTGAGCATCTCAGGGCGGATTTCATCAATTCAAGCAGCCTTTGCCTTTCTCAAGCTTTTAAAAGCTTGTGTAACTTCTTCTACAGAGATTGTAATATCCGTTCCGTGCTGCTCTACAGGCAAGTTGATGGGGGGTAAGGAGTTCCTAGAAGTACTCAATAATGTCATCATCCTTGGTAGGAGGGTGTCCGGACTTGTCCTTCAAGACTCGGAGACTGCCCATCTTTTCACCTCGGAGCCGGCGGATGGTCTGCCAGAATACTTATTTGCCATGTGAAAATTCGACTCCAGCGCCTCACGGAACTTCTCCGAGGAGTCAAGTTTGGCTTTCGCGACTGCTTTCGCTGCTGCCTTGCGTGCTTCGACATATCGCACGCAAGTAGAAGGCTTTTTGTTTCCAAGCCATTTCCTGAACACTGATTTCTTCTCTATAACTGCTAGTTGTACGCCTCGTGTCCATCATGAAGATCTTTTCTGACCTCCAGTAGTCAGGCCACCCGTTAAAATCCACAATCCGCAACATTCAGCGGCAGCCACGAGTATGGCCCTCTTAAGGAGGTGCCATTCAGTTTTCATATCGGTTGTCATCACCGGGATCTGTTCAAACGGTCTTGCGATGTTGGTTGCAAATTTCGCTCTCCTGTCCACCGAGGGTTATGTTTCCCATTTTATTCTCCAATTTTCGTATGGTACTCCATTTCTTACAGCGCCGCTTGCCAACAACAAGGTGATGTTTGGTTGATAGCTCTGCGCCTCTCTTAACACAAACATCCATTACTGAGCGTCTTAGGTCAGACAATACGGTTATCAAATCGATCATCGACTACCGTGCAGAAGCTTCCCGGTACCAGGTGTAATGATGAACTCTTCTATGCGAGAGAAGGTGTTCATAATGGACAATCTGTTGTTGGCGCTAAAGCGCAGCAACTTCATGCCGTTATTGTTGAGGTCGCTAGGACCGTTTAA